TTAGATTAGAATTTTTGCACTTACTGTAGACGCTCCATTATATTTAATATAATATTTAATTTAATATTAGGCGCTACTTTTGTTCTTTTTTGTATACTAGACGACAATTGCGCGCCAACAGTGTTTCGAGTTTGACGATGAAAAATTCATTTTCAAAACATAATTAAATAAAAAGTTGTTCATTTCATGATCATTAAGCTTCCTCAATATAATATATACCAATTGTTTAATTTTTTATTTTAGAATAATTATTTTAAAGTGTTAAGACAAAATGTCAAAAAATACAAAATTTCAATTTTTTGTGAAAATTTAAAATATTTATTAATTCTATAAATTTTGATAAAATATATACTTTATATACATGAATCGATTCGTTTTTATGTCAGGAATGCAATTTTGACAAGAATTAATAAAAATTTTAATATAGAAAAAAGTTATTTCAAAAAATCCAAAAATTAATTTTTTCAAAAATTAAAAAATTGTTGAAAAAAATTTTTTTTTTAGATATTTTTGAAAATCCTTTTGTCTGATTTTTGGTATTCGTGACCGTAATACATCTACAAAATTTTATCAAAATCCGTCAAGACGTGTAAGAGAAAATTTGTCCACAAGAATCGGTGACATACACACACACACACACACACACACACATACATACACACACACATACATCCGGACATTTGTTCCTCTCGACGAATTATATATACTACACTTGAAAATTTGTAAAAATAATTGGTTCTAAAAAATTCGGAAATCGACATCACTATAAGGCTTCCTTTATGAGGAAGCAAAAATCAAATAATTAAACATAATTTATAAAAAATAGACATATTTATATAAAATAAATGATCATATTTTGTTTATTATAAAAAACATTTATTACATGAAGTAATACGAACAAAATCATCAAAAATTAGGCCTAATTTTATTGAAATTTACTCTCTAAATCAGAATCAGTGAAATTCCTACTTAAGATTAGTGAAATTTGAGTAAGAATCAGTGACTTTATTCTCGCGATTTGAATCAGTGGAATTAAACTGAAAATCAGTTAAAAATGACGGAAACTGAAAATCAGGAACTAAAACGAAACTAAAATTTCGAAACGGTTCTTGGTATTTATTCAAAAATAAATTTTATTTACTTATAAAATACTCATATACATTTATTTTATATTTAATTCAGGGTGTCCTGCAAGTACTAAGAAAAAAATTCCCTGACTTTCCCTTGACTCTTCCCTTCCCTTTTTTATAACAAATCTTTAACAAAAAAAAATTATTTGAGCTGGTAAATATTAACGTAATTTTATGGTAGTGAACTTAAACACTTTATTTATCATCATTATAAACCTTCTTTTGTTGTAAACAAAATATTACACACATAAAATCTGAAAAAAACAAAGATAAAATAATCTAATTATTTGTTTGTTGAAAAACCACGATCTAAAGCAGCGTTCCCATGAGATAAAATTAAAATCATTTTCACAAAGTTTTCCAAATTAGAAAAGCTTTTTGATGATGATTTCAAAAATGAAAGAGAACTAATAAACGAAAGTGATTCACTCATTCAAGTATCTGTTCGGCTGAAAATTTAAAAAATAAAAAAAATCTATTTCTTATGAAATTTAAAAAAAAATTCCTGATTTTGATTAAAATTCCCTGACCGCTGGACACCCTTATTAATATATTAATTATTTATATATTATTTATTATTAAACTTTTTTATAATATAAATATAATTTTATTTAAAACAAAAAATTGTAGGATAATAAAAAATTAATAATAAATAAATTTTAAAATACAATATACCGTCAGTTGTCAGTTTCTTCTGACCTTCTTTTCTCTGTTGGTTTATGTATTTCTTTAATAATTTCTTTTAGAATTAATCTTTTTAAATTTATAGATAATACACACTTCTCAGATGAAGCAGATAAATATACGTTTTATTATCTGCAATGAAAGACATTAGTAAAATTAATTATTTTATTAGTTATTAAAATATGTATAAAATTTTTATATTGAATTTAATCTTTCATAACATTTTTTAACATTTAATTTTAACAATTTTAAATATTTTATATTAGAATAAATTTAATATTAATATTATTTACATAAATTAAATATATAAAACTTAATCATTTAAAAATTAATTCAATTAAATTTATTTAACAATTATATTTATCTAAATAATTTCTTATCAATAATAATCAATGAAATATAAATAAGTTTCCTTAAAAAGCACATATTTATTAATTCATAATTTATTTAATTGGATTAAATCACTTTATTACGTCAATAATATATCTGAAGGAATCGCGTTAATTAAGATAACGATTTTCACGAACGTATTTCCAAAAAAGATTGAGACTATTTTTTTAAGTACTTGAAAGACGAAGATGATGAAAAAGATTTGGATAAAGGGAATATAGCCCTCTTACCCACACTACTTTTATTTTAATGTGTAAGTATATGTTCGTATAGTGAATGAACCTCTCTATTTCAAGTGTTCCACCTTTAACCACCTTCCACCTTTAATATTAATTACCGAATGATAAATCCCCTTTCTTTAATTAACTTTATATCTTCATTCAACTTATTTCATAGATTTTTAATAAATTCTTAAAGTTTAAATTTTTCTAAAAAATGCTACTATTAGGTCACTTACCTTATTAAAATATATTTCGACTTCATATTTATGCTCTCACAAGAAATTGTCAAAAATAGAAGAGAAATGACAATCTGAAAATGACAATTTATGAAAAAATTAATGCTATCAATAAAGTATTTGATAAATGTATATGTTGCAATAACTTATATGAATGGAAGATTACAATGAGTATATAAATTATAAATCTTAATGAAGATTTATAAGAGAAATAAGATTTTTGTCAAAAAAAATAAAAAATGAAATTTTTATACATAAAACATATAAGTTTCCTGCAAAGTTGCACTATAAATAGTTCAACTTTTCAATGCAAACTTGCTAAAAAATATTGCACTGTGGGATATTTTTATTTTTAATTAAAAAATTATTATTTAATTTATATGTTTAAATTTTAATTAAAAAACTAAAATAAATTGGAACGTATCAAGTTTGTAGTATAGGGTTCGTCCATATATCACGTGGACACTTTTGGGGGAGGGGTGGTTTAAAAAAGTTAGAAAATGTCCACGATCCAATGTATTTTTGTGTCCATAAGGGGGAGGGGGGGGGGTCAAAAATCTTTGAAAACTATCCACGTGGTATATGGACGACCCCATATTAAACTCAATTTTATTTTCTACAAAATAATAGACAAATAAAAATTGTGGGTATTAATATTTACCTACTAGAATAAAGGAATAAGAGTTTGAAAACCGAACATGTACTGGAATAACTTTCTTTAATTAGATTTGTAAGCGACACGTACTCAAAAAGAAATAAATTGAATTATTATATTGAATGTTGTCGAGACAATTACATATTAATATTTACATGCGTTTTATATGATTCACATGTTTTGAAGTCATTCATTTTTTAGAATTCGATATAGGGATCAGAATTTGAGAAATTTCATTCATTTTTTTTAATCTCCAGTACGAGAACATATTTTTGGAACATTCTTAATTAAGTGTTTGTTATATGGCTCGATCAATTTATGTTATATGTAATATATATTTGATTGACATTGATTGTGTTTTTAGTAAAAAAAATTTATCCAGCTAAGAACTACCTACTGTGGAAAGTAAAAAAATATACAAGTCACACCAAGAAAAATCGTTCAATATAATATAAAAATTTAATTGAAGATCAATTTTTACATAAGTGATCATATTCTGTATAAAAAGTTTCAATTTCCTCATTTTGTAATTAATAATTATAATTCTCTTTTAAATACGACTAATAGTACCAAAAATTTAATTTTGAACAAAAATGTCATTTATATATTATTTTACAATCCAGGGTTTCTTGTAATACTATTTTTTATCACAAACAAGTCAATCTCATAAGTGAAAGTGAAAAAAATAGAACATATTTATAAATCTCTGAAAATTAATGACAATCTTAAAATTAGTTTTTCATTGAAAAACATTTTATTATACGCATTGGGATATTATGTACTAAACTGTTGAATAAAAATCTCAATTTTAGTTTCGAATAAAAATATTTTAAGACAATATCACTTTTATTTTTAAAAAATGATAAAAACATAAAATATCAAATTTAAAAAAAATGTGAGTTCTATATATAGTTTCAGATCTTTTTCTTTATTAACTCTTTCAGACTCAGAATATTGTAGAATTTTTTCGAATTCTAATTATACAATAATAAAAGTATAAAAAACGTAGTTATAAAAACATCAAGAGTTTAACATTTAGTTTTTTAAAAATTGTTATTAATTTAATAAAAGTTTGTTCTAATAACGAAATTTTATTTAAATAATAATAAAATTTCGAATAAATATTTAAATTAAAAAAAATTGCATTTTTGCTAATAATTAATAATATTACTATTACTAAAAATTTTTTTAAAGAGTTAAGTTTTAAAATTAGAAAGAAATTTTTAAATTGAGAAAATGTAGTTAAAAGTTTATACTGAAATTTATAAATTTGGGATTCATTAAAAATAATAGAAATTAAACGCATTAATAATGAAAAAGGACGTTTCTATGAAGAAAAAATGTTTCTAATCTGAAAGAGTTAAATTAACAAGCAATTTGCATTATTATTATTATTTACAAAATAACTCTACTTATCTGTTCGCATCGCAATATAACAGTATTCAACAATATTATAAGTAATTAAAGAGCGCAATTAATTAATATCGTTGACCCCAATTCGAATGAAGATGATTGTTTCGAGTGAATGAAATACGCGGAACAATGAAAATATTTTCGAATTGGAGTGAACACGATATATGCATGTAACACAGTATAAAAAAGTTGTGCAAGTAAAGTCATCAGAATAAAGGTAGGATTGAAAGTGATGGAAGTGTCGTAAGATATTCAGAAAGGATCTGGTATGTAAATATATACACGTAAAATTGTATTTTGTAATATTAATATAATAATAATAGTAATATAATCCCAATAATGAAGTACTACCCAAGTAATAAATACTATAGATACAGAGTGAGTGAGTGAGGGTGAATGTGAGTAAATTAACTAATGGGGCTTAAAAGGTTCCTATGTACAAGTCAACTTTGTACTATGCAACTGACGCAATTGGCCACCTAGGCTTTCAAGCAGACGCACTTTTCTCTCTCTCTCTCGCTCTCTCCTTTCGCGATTTTCTTCCTATTTATTTTTTTAACTCTTACTGATCTACTTGACTTTTTGTGCCCTCATCGCCTCTCTTTCTTCCGTTCAGTCCGCTTAATACATAATTACCTAATCTCAGTGACAATTCACTTGATAAATTATTTAAAAACAATATTTTACACTATAATGGATATATGACGTTACTGGATTTTAATAGAATTTCTTCAACTTCATTGAGAAAGTAACAGTACGGATCTAAGAAACATAACGCAGACCCAATACTGTGCACGCGTATTACTTATTAATCATAATTATACTTATCACCAGGGGCTTGTACGAGGCTTGCATTCATTAAAAAAAGAAAACTACTATAAGTTTATATCATTTATAGATTATTTCGAGTAATGTAAGATCATTATCATATTGATTGGAACACTAGTAATCATAAAAACTTTTTACAAAATCTAATATACAATTAAAAACATTTGGATACATAAACACCTTAAAATCTGATGTTCAATTCATCTATCTACTGTAAGAGAGCCTAATGCGAATTCAAAATCACACCCACAGTTATCCATACGTACCATACATACATACAATATTTTGAGAGAAACGATTTCTCGTCACGTTCCTACCCATTCATTTTACAAGGTTTTTTTTTGACATTTACTAATTGCTTTTTTTAACGTAATTTACGTTAACAATTATTTAAAAAAAAATTGTTTAACCTATTCTAATTGTGTGGGTAAGAAATGTTTTACAGAAATGAGCTGTGCTTTGATTGCTGCATTTCGAAGTCTATTAACCACTTTCGATGATACAGTAGTACAATAATGATAAATTACTCATGTGGACTATCAATAAACGTTCAGTATTTTTATTATAATCTCTATGGTCAAAATGACGGTAAAGATGAGGCGTATGAAATAAACTTCTCTCGCAAAGCCCCAAGTGACGGAACAATAATAAGTGCATGAGAAAAGTGCGCATCTTGCGCAACATCAAAAGACATTGTTGGTCAGACGAGAGCTGCTGCTGTGTGATAGAGTTTCATTAGTGCTTGAACGTGAACAGGCAAACATGAAAGTCTATCCTTCGTGTTTGCATCCACTGCTAACCAAGAAAGTGCATTGTACCCTTCTAATACGTATCTGAAAAGAGCAATAAAGGCGCAATAAATATTTTATTTCTCTTCATTTAATTTAATTTAATTTAATTTCTTTAATTAAAATGAAAACACTTGAAAATACGACACTAACCTTAATACATCGGTGGTATATTGTGAATCAAGTGGATGAGCAGTTAGAGCACTTTGTTGTTGTAACAAATCGTCACTATTCTGTTGAATTGCAGGACTATGTAGATGAAGCGCATTTTTCAAAAATACTGGACAAACTCCTTCCAAATGAGGGCACGCTGCCCAAAACCAAGAAGGCATACTACCAGTTGGAGCCGTTGAAACCAAGTATCCAAGAGCCAAAGGCTGCTGTAAAAGTGTACCAACTTCTTCCGCTTGCTCAGATGCTGTGACCTATAAACATTGATAATTGGCATGTGTAATTAAGAAAATAACTTTCAAATACCAACAGAAACATTTATTATTTTTATTTCAGTTTATTTATTAACTGATTAAAAATTTTATATCGTTTTTAAGTAACAATTTTATTTATAACGGCAAACATAAGATAAAGTCAAAACACAATAGTTTCTTAATTTGTTGTTTCATTCGATTAAAATTCCTTGACTTTTGAAGAAAATTCTTTAAAAATAATTGAAAAAATGATAGACATTTCACTTACTCTTGGTGTGTTGCACTGAAATGGACTACCAGGACCGTCATGATTTCCTAATCCAGAACCCCCACCTTCACCACCGAGTGGCGACTCTTCCTGACGATGAGGACTTCCACTTGGACTCGGACCTCCACCAGCACCAGCTTCCGGCCACACGTTAAATATATCATTAAAGTCTCCCATTCCCTCCATCCCTTCTGGCATATCGTCATTCAATGCGGAGAATAACTCTTCATCTCCAAGTTCTGGACCATTAATATGTTGCTCTTGGAATGCAGTTTGAGAAGACTGGAGAAACCAAAATTCAAATATTTAATACAATTTTGTTTTAAACTAAAAATATTAGAAACATATTAGAAAAATCTGAAAGACAAAATTAACTTACTTGAGTAGTAGCTGAAGTTGGAAAAACAAGAATATGAGTACACGTTACATCTTGCGGAGTAGATAACTGACAGTTAACCGATGCCTGACTAAATCGTTCGTCAGGAGTAAACTGATCGGCCATTAATCTCAGAGTTGAATCCGGCTCTAATGACACTAAGCAAGCACTAAGAACACATGGAGCTGCGGTAGGATATAAAAGACTGCATTGTCCGCAAATTTCCTTTAAATGTTTCGAGGCCTTCAGAAGAGATTTCCTCGAAAGCAACCAACTCCAACCTTTTAATTCACCATGTCCTATGCGACCTATTCTTCCCACAACCAATCGCCACGGTTGGACCTTGAAAAATCAACATTTTTTTTTATTGCAAATTTATATATACAACGCCTCTGTTTCTTTAAAGGACTTCTAAAATAATCCAAAAATTAATTTGCAAATCTTTCCAATGGTGTTGTTTAGAGTATAAAAAATCAAAATTCAATTATTTTCATAAATAATAACATTCTTTGCAAGAATTCAAATATTTTTATAAATAGTTAAATTCTTCGTAGGAATCCAATTATTTTCAAAACATTTTATTAAAATTTCACGAAAGGATTCAACTATTTTCCTAAAATTTTGATAAAATTCTTTGAAACAATTCAATTATTTGTATAAATTGTAAAATTCTTCGCAAGAGTTAAATTATTTTTATAAATAATAAAATTCTTCTCAGGAATTTAATTGAATTGTGTAGAAAAATTTTAATACAATTTTGAAAGATAATTGAACCTGTTGGAGAAATCTTATTAAAATTGTATTGAAAATAATTGAATTCCTTTGAAGAATTTTCTTACTTATGCAAATAATTGAATTCTTGTGGTGGATTTTACAATTCATAAAAAATAATTTAATTGTTTCCAAGAATTTTATCTAAATTTTTGAAAATAATTGAATTTTTTGATGGAGTTTTATCAAACATTTTGAAAATAATGATATATTTAAAAAGAATTTCATCGAAATTTGCGAAAATAATTGAATTTTTATTAAAATTCTTGAAAATAATCGGATTTAATTAATATTATTTTTTAAAATAATTGTATACTTCCGAGAAATTTTATTAAAATTGTATTGGAAATAATTGAATTGTTCTAAAAAATGTTATTATTTATGAGAATAATGAAATTCTTGCGAAAAATGTTATTAAAATTTTTGAATAATAATAAACAAGAATATTTAGGTAATATTAGATTTATGTACTTAATAAGTGAATTCTTTAAATTTTGAATCTGTAATGATTTAAAAATTGATGTTTATTCTTGAAAATATAAAATTTTTTTAATTTACAAAATAATAATAAATGGAATACCGCGTTCTGCGCGTATCATGTGCTAGTTATTAATAAACACGATTACATTAAAAATTTTAAATAAATTCTTCAAAAAATTCAATTACTTTCAAAATTTTCAATAAAAATTATTTAAAAAATTTCATTATTTTTTTTAAAAATTTTAATAACAACATTCTTTGAAAGAATTCTATTATTTTCATAAATAATAAAATTTTTCGCGAGAATTTAATTAAATATTTTTAAATTTTTTGATAAATTTTTCACAATAATTCAGTGATTTTTAATGCCTTAATTTTAAAATTCAAAATATTTCAAAAGAAAAATTATTAAAAAGTTAGAAGACAAAGAAGCAAACAAAAACTAATTTCAAACTGCGAATAGATTCTGAAAAATCAAGTCTTATAAATTTTAAAAAATTTCAATTTTTCAAGAAATTAATTTTTGTTGAAAATAAAAAAAATGTAAGACAGTAAAAGTTATTTATTTACATTTTTCTTAGTGTAATCAAGTAAATTCATTTACACATTTTTGTAAAAGGATTTTTTTCATACTCGTTTTTAATAAAAATTAGAATCACAAAATGGCATAAATTTTTACTTATAATGCAATTCAATTGAAAAACAAAAATAAATTCAATATTATTATAAACTGGTCGTCAATAAGGTTAAAAATATTGTTTTAGTTTCAATATTCTTAAACGTATGTTAAATTGTGATTGAAAATTGTATGTTCATTTAGGAATAGTTTTATTCTTTGTGTAATTTTATGCAATTTGAATATTGTTTGTTGTTAATTTTTAAATAATTCTGATTATAATTTGCATTTGAAAATTTGGGCACTGCTTGCTTTCAAAGTAAGCATTTAATCTTTAAATTTTAATTTCGATGAAAATTTGGCTTTGCTCTATTATAAAATTAAAATTGTCTAAAAAGGCATTTTAAGTCCGTGGTTAATAAGGTAAATTAAAAACGTCTACTTTACTCCCTAGAATTAGAGAAGGTTGATAATTTGATACTTAAAGTTGAAAATGAAGATAAAGATAACTTACCCCCTGTGACATAACACCAAGAATGAAGTCCATCAGTTTTTGCAGACCAATACGTCTTGCGGAAGCACGTTTTCTTCTTTTTCGATTTGGAACGTCAATGTTAATGGCGGTGTTTTCGAATATTTCTCCACGATCGTCCGTTGCAACAGCCAATAACAATGATTGATCTTCGCTCAAACAGTAGCTCAAATAAAGCACAGCACATTCTTCAGGGCCAGCAATTCCAAAAGATTCCGGTGCCTCGCTTTTTGCTCTCAGCGGTGCGAGAACATATGCCGGTGCGTACAGTCGATAGGGTGATTTATTTCGTTCCTGATGTAGAGTGGCAATAGAATTACTAAGTGACTGAAAACCATTTTTCACTGGCTAATCGTTTTTAATTCATTACTTTCAAAAATTTTTTTATTCTTTATTGACAGCCAATACTAGAAAAATTCTAAATTTCTAACGATTTCAATAACATTTTGTAATAAGAGGGAAATATACTTACATCTTTACTTTTTAGGAAAAGATCGGCAGCGGCCGCAGTGCCGAAACCAGTAAGACTTTTAACAGTTGAATTATGATTGAGAAGACGCCGACCTTGCAAGAAGACAGTTAAAGCTAGGGCTCGCATTTCCTCCTGGATTTTTAGTTTTTCACGAGCTCGGCCCAATTCCATTACACTTTCTAAGGATATTAACTGTTAAATCAAAAAGTCAGAATTATTATTCAACTCTTCCAATTAGTGGAACTGGTATTGTTTATTTCTAGAAGATTATTTTTTCCGTTTTAAAAATAAAAATTATACTATTCGAAATTTAATTTTTTTTTTACTTTTTTGATACTTTCTCTGAGGCTAAAGCTACTTTTTTATTACTAATTTTGTCTAGAAACTATTAATTAATTAACATTAATTTAATTTACAAAATTACTAAATTCCGAAAAAGACATGAAAAACGAACACTAATTTTTCTTTTAAATATTAAAATAATGTAATTTTCAATAATTTGAAAAAGACGAAACAAGTCTTAGAACTAATTTTCTTTTTTTAAGAAGCAAATTTTGAATTATTATTTTAATTTTAAAAATGTTGAAGACTTTTTTTTTAAATATTGCTCGTTTTGTACTTTTGTTTAGTTTATTACTTCACTTCGAAACCTGTAATTATTAAAAAATGCATGATTAACCTGAATGCATGATTACCTGAACGTTAATATTTGATCTAATGTTTTCTGGCATACTCCGAACTGCAGCAGAGTATGCTCGTAGTAAAGCTAAAATTGCAAGCCTTCGACGATCAACATTTTCGGTGCCGCCGAGAGAAAATGGATCAACTAAGTAAACAACAATAGATGGAGGTTCAATTTGCTCGTCATCAGGGCCAATTGTTGCAGAAGCAGCAGTGGACGTATTTACAGAAGTTGGCGTTGTGTTGCCTATTGTTGAATTTGCATTCGGAGTTGCATTCGGAGTTTCACTGCGTGCATTTTCTCCTTCTTTGAAAAACAAAATATACATATTTATAAATGAAAATAGAGACAATTATTATTCTTTAATATACTAATATTCAAAATTTGTACCAGAGATGACATAAAAATTTTATTTCATTTTTCTCTCATTTCCAGACATAATTTTTACTTTTTCTATTATTTACACAATACAAATATAATTGTTCCCGTTATTAATTAAGGTTAGGATTTAAAAAATACTGATAAATAATTTTTGAAAAATATTGTTTCTATGTACAACCCTAAAAAATTTTGATAATTGAATACACAAAAACATATTTTTAATATATTTATTTGTGAATAATTTCAATTGTAAAATAAATTGAATCGAAAAATTCAATAACTTTCGAAATTATGAATTTATATATTTATATCCTTTAATTTAGGAAGGACAAAGAAAATTATAATTCAAAACATTTTTAAAAGTAATGAAATCAAATCCTTTCAAATAGATAATTTATTTCAATGCAATTTGACAAAACTTTTAATTGTTTTAATTTTTAAAATTATTTTCAAATGTCTTCAAAAAAATTTTAATTGCAATTTTTCAAAAACCTACTTTTTTAAATTTCTAAATTCAATTATTCATAGCTTCAATAAAATTTTTGTTAAATTTATTGTTATTATTATTATTTATATAATATATTAATAACTTTTTTAAATAAACATTTAAGGGTCAAACCATTTTATTTCGCCTAATGTATTTTTGACCTTTATAAAAAATGTCAATACTCAGGGAAAATATTCTTACATGTTCTGGGATGACGAAATGAACAATGATTTGTAAAAAATAATTACATTTCGTATAAAAAAAGATGTTATAAATTGAGAGTACATGAAAAAAGGTTACATTGACAGACATTACAAAATATTTAAAAAAGGAGTAATCACTTTAAGAAATATAAAAAAAGCGATTGATAGGTATTTATTTTCAAAGACTGAATTTGTGTTTTAAACTTGATAAAAGTATCAAATAATTTATAATAAACTGTAAAATATGTTATTTAAGTTTCTGTATGAAATGTCAAATATCGATCATATTTAACAATTTTTTTTGGCAAAGTAATTTAATTTTAGTAAATCAGAATTATTTGAATAATAAGAATTTTAAATACACTTTAATATTATTTAAATACTTTTTTAATTATCAACTGAGAAATATAAAAAAAATTTACCTTAAAAATTAACCATTCTTCATTTTATCGGGATTTTGAATGTTTGTAACTTCGTTGGAGAAAAACCGATTTATGCCAAATTTTTGGAGCATGTAGATTGAAACAATATCTTCCTGCTGCTAAAATTTCGCGATGGGTTTTGCACTAGTCTTCAAAAGAAATTGATTGAAAAAAGTGTTTATTTTGAAGGTTACAGACAAGTATTATAACTAACTTGAAGTTGGTTTGCTACTTGCGATAAAAGTCAAATTCAAAATAAAACGATTTTTTTAAAGTTAGTTTAAAACAAACCAACTTCAAGTCAGCTATAATACTTGTCTGCAACCTTCAAAATAAACACTTTTTTTTAATCAATTTCTTTTGAAGACTAGTGCAAAACCCATCGCGAAATTTTAGCAGCAGGAAGATATTGTTTCAATCTACATGCTCCAAAAATTTGGCATAAATCGGTTTTTCTCCAACGAAGTTACAAACATTCAAAATCCCGATAAAATGAAGAATGGTTAATTTTTAAGGTAAATTTTTTTTATATTTCTCAGTTGATAATTAAAAAAGTATTTAAATAATATTAAAGTGTATTTAAAATTCTTATTATTCAAATAATTCTGATTTACTAAAATTAAATTACTTTGCCAAAAAAAATTGTTAAATATGATGGATATTTGACATTTCATACAGAAACTTAAATAACATATTTTACAGTTTATTATAAATTATTTGATACTTTTATCAAGTTTAAAACACAAATTCAGTCTTTGAAAATAAATACCTATCAATCGCTTTTTTTATATTTCTTAAAGTGATTACTCCTTTTTTAAATATTTTGTAATGTCTGTCAATGTAACCTTTTTTCATGTACTCTCAATTTATAACATCTTTTTTTATACGAAATGTAATTATTTTTTACAAATCATTGTTCATTTCGTCATCCCAGAACATGTAAGAATATTTTCCCTGAGTATTGACATTTTTTATAAAGGTCAAAAATACATTAGGCGAAATAAAATGGTTTGACCCTTAAATGTTATACTTTTACTGCGATTAAAATGTTAAAAAAATTTCAATTTAAAAACCTTTTAAATTTAATTTATTATTTCTTAAATTTCCTGTTATAACGCTTTTAGTATTCAGTTATTTTTTAAAATTTTAATTGAAATTCTTTTTTAAACCAATTCTTAGTAGAATTCAACGATAATTGAATTTAATTATTTTGCAAATTTTTAGTTTTAACGAACTATTTATTTCATTAACATTTGGTGAATATTTTTTAACAACACTTCTTTTTCTATGCTTTTGGGATCGCTGATTACGAATTTGGAGTCAGATTTGAAAAATTCAAAAAATTCAAGTTGGTGGACATTTTTTTCAAAATTGCTCATATTCGCTTGAAACTTATTAATCGGGGTTATTTTTTTGTCCATCAGGAATTAAAATTTTAAAATGTACTTTCAATGTAAAATTTTTTGAAATTAAATTATTTCTAAACTTTTAACTGAAATTCTTTTTCAAATCAATTCTTATCAAAAACTTTTATAGGAGAATTGAATTTTTTTATATAAAATTTTCTTATTTTACTATTTTTTGAAAATGGTGTTATTTTGATCTACACGAGATGTAAAGAAATAAATAAGAGAAATGTAAAGAAAACGACTCCACTCACCAATAGATTCAGGCTTACTGAGCGTTCCATCAGGAGTAACGGGCATATTTTCTGCTGGCGCAGTTGTTGCGTGCTGTTGCTGTGGTTGTTGCTGATGCTGCTGTTGAGTTTGCGATTGAGACTGAAGTTGCTGCTGTTTATTAGAATGATTATCTCCAGTGTCTAACAAACTTCGATCCTGAATGACTTGAGTCAAATATGGAGCTAAACGATGATTACAAACTGTAGCGTAGAGCCGTAACAATTCTCCTATTTGATTTTCACCTAATAATTTGAACCAGTCGTCGACAGGTTGTTTGGAGAATTTTTCAGTTACTGATTTTCCTACTCGAAGAATACCATCTCGTGAAGCTTTTGAAATAGGAGTGTGCCTTCCCAAACGACAAATCTGCAAAATTTCCATTTTTATTCATTAAAAGTTCATGGAAACTATTTTAAAATTATGTACACGTGCTTCTATCGATTTTAAAATCTTAAGAATGTATTCATTATGTATCAACACTCGGTACCTGAATTAAATATTATATTTAAGCCAGGGCATAAGCATGATCAAGTTTACTCTTCGAGTTCCTGTAGCACCACCCTTGCATGTATGTAACAAGGTTTGTGACTCTAGGCTCGATTCTCAAAATATTTTGGAAAATTGATTTTTAATTTGCCTAAAATTCTAGTATTTCAACTTTAATTATTATTACTTGTTTTTCTTTAATGTTATTAACTTTTTACACTTTCGTTATTAAGATAGACATCGGAATTTTTTATAGTTACATAAGAAAACAAATAAATTTCAATTTTTGGTTCAAAAGAGATAGTATCGTCTCCTAATGTAACTTTTTTACTCTGAATTCGTATTTTTTGACAGATTCTTTAAAACATTTGATTTCTAAATAACTCTTTTTTCAATTTAATTTAAAATAAAAATTAAATTTAACGTTTATTGGAAAGGAAATTGCAAATATTTTTTAAACAGGCCTCAGATCGACTTTGAAACGCAAACCGAAGTTTTTTTAGTCGATTTGAAGTGAGGATCAAGTTTTCAAAATTTGCTTATAAGCATTTTTTTATTTTGAAAAATTGAAAGAAATGATTTTCTCACATAACCACTACGGTTAATTTCAAGATAGAAAATTTATATAATAATCTATTTCCATAACAATGCTTTCTTTATATAAGACGTTTTATTTTAGACTAGCAAATGTTACGCGCGATACATGATATTCAGTTTAATATTATTATTATAAAATTCAAACTCGAAAATTTTGAACATACTAGAATTTTATTACTTTTGAAAATAATTGAATTTCTGCAATCATTTGTAATTTCTCTAAAATTCTCCAAGTTATATCGTAAAATTTACGAACTTTTCGTCTTTTCTCAATCAAATTACGGACTTTACGGACCTTTTTTTTAAAAAAACTGACTTTTACGGACCTTTACGGGATTTACGGTAGAAAGAATAGAGTAAAAGAATACTGTACCTCATAAGTAGTAGAAAGTTCACGAAAGAATGTTTTAACTTTCTTGATAACACATTCATTGTCAGGCGCTAATATGACGTACGCTACATCTCTAGACCCGGCGTATGGTTCCAGTAGAAGCTTTTCCCAATAACTGAGAGCGTACGGTGAAAGTGAAAGCCAATCTCTGTCGTAGCCGACGACCAAAGCCGGGATGGGTTGCGGCTCGCAGCGATCGTCAGTACCTCTGCCAGCCAGACGATGGAACTGCCTCCAGGTAAGTGGCCCCGTAACAGTGTACGGCGCTTCCCACATGCGAGTGGTGCACTTCTTCTGCACCGCTTCCTGCAAGAGCGGCTGAAGCACCCTCATCATCCGAACAATGTCCCCACTGCACTGCGGCCCCTTCGCGCGCAGGAAAGCCCACTGATGTACGCCGCTGTTACGATTGATTCGCTCGTTGTGAGTGCCGTCCATTTTGCCTTGGTCTAATGCCGTCAGGGAAACCTCGTTTCCATCATTGAACTCTAACACATTCACTGTGGGTAGCCAAGCGGGATAACTCTTTGTCATGGCGTAAATTCTTGACGCCCTATACAAACTACTGGCTGAGCTTTCAACAATTAAACACTGATCTCTCAGCAGATCCAAAATATCGGGCGGCAATGAATCCAGAGCTTCGGGTATCTTACTGCCATTGCAGGAGAAGGGGGCGAGGGAGCCCTTCTTCTTCTCGGCGGGATCCTCGGCAATTCCCGTTATTTCCATTTCGTCTTCATAGAAGAGTCCAGCTTTATGAGACAGTCGTCGATTAACAACTGCACTGAAACCGCAACTACAACGAATTTGATCGTCCTCTTGAAAGAAGCTGTTGTTTGCTGACCAGGAACTCGCCAAGTAGGTGCCAGCGTCAGCGCCCTTGATGTTGCCCACCACCTTGGGACTGGCATTGCAGACGCACAGACTGCAACTGTCGAAGTTGTGGTCCCGAAAGATGTTGAGGGCCGTGTCGCCAAGGAGAATGTTGACGACGAGGGAATTTGATTCGGGCACGCGGATGGGTCCAGGAGTGTCGGCCTCGATGCTGTTTGGATTCTTGTTGAGATAGGAGGACGTGGTGGAAGTGGCGGGGCTGGGTTGGTCGTAGGGTGGTGGCGGCGGAGGTGGAGGAGGCGGAGGTGGTGGTGGAGGCGGTTGCCTGCCCGACATGGTAACGTTGTGTCCGCCTCGGTAGGGAGTGCCCGCCGGTGCTGGACTCGGTGGGCACAGCAATTGTTGCACTGAACTCGGCCTAGTGGGTGGTGTTGTTTTCTCGGAAATATTGGACGTTGCATTGCATTGCCAAGAAGGTCTGTAGACGCAATGCGATGGCAGTGAGATGGGCGAAAGAGCTTGGCTCGGCAAGTTGGTGAGAGGAGCGTATTTCGAGGAGCCAACGAGTTTGCAAATTGTAGCCGGCTTGAAGACGTACGACCAATCATCAATCGGCTCTTCAGGTGGAGATCCCATGTTGGGATAAATGTCTGGAAGGTGCCTGAAGGACCTTTGAGAGGTAGATAGTTCCGATTGATCCAGGGGCATGTCACTCAACTGGCAGGGCGATGCCACCGGATTGTGCTCCAGGGAGGGTGGAGTGGGGAACATTTTTGACAACTCTTCTGGTCTCAGAACACTCACGTTTCGATTGTTGTGTTTGTTTATGCTATCCAATTTTGATTCCTCATGCAAGCCACCTGATTTATTGGACCCAGGCGGTGTTTGTATCTGTAGTTGATTTAAATTCTGAAAGGAAAAAAGCATATGTTTTCAATAACTTATAAATACTGCCGTGCAAAATTCAAACACCGTAATTTACTTCTCAGTAACTTTTCAAAGCAAAGCTATGAAAGTTCAAATAACTTCATGGTGATTTTCGTAACAATTTTCTTCAAAAAATTAAGTTACGGTGTTTTCTTTTACATGGAAAAATAAATCATTAATGCTTCATAAATAAAATAATAGTAAATTTAATCTAAAAGATATATTAATATCAGTATGAAAAATAAATAAATAATATGTTGTTTTTTTCTAATTTCTAGAAACTAATTCTTTTTATTTTCTTATTTTACGACAAAAATTTCCATATATTATATCACATTGAATTATTCTTTAAAGAAAATAGAATTTATAGTGACAAGTATCTTTAATCAAATTTCAATAATTTAAATTTTTAATAGACTTTTAATTTAATGTTTTAACAGACTAATGAAAAATCAATTGCTCTCGTGAAATTAAAACTTTCTCTTTAAGAAGAACATATTCAGTTTCAAATGCTCATAATTACTTCCATTTAATATTATCAAACGACTTAATGTAAATTGAAAAAGTTTTTTCTGATTTACTCTAAAAGTTATTAGATACTTTAAAAAATATTCTATTACAATTATAAGGTAATTTACGTGAAATATCCCAAGTTAAAACTTCAACTTCTTGGAAAAATTGAAACTCGGGGAATTTATTGTTCAATCAAGTAGAAATGTGACCTAAAAAACATTTTTAACTTTTTCGAAAATTTGGAGGGGGTAAAGGGGGGTTAATTTTACCAATTTTGCTAAACACCGTCTACTTTTTCAATTTTTTCTGTATATGGGTGATTAAATTTAAAATGTCATTTTTGATCCTACTAACTTTGATTTATCGATGTTGGATTTTGAACTTAACGATACTCTATTTTGGTTGACTAGAATATATGATGGACAAAAATAATAGTGGTCGAGCAGGTGGAAGCAAATTTTAATTTTCACCAGGTGAAAAACGATAGGCAGAAATGATAAGAAATTTTCTGTTTTCGTTTATTCTTTTCTCAAATAAATTCTTACAACTTTAAAAAGTTAAAATATTTCAAATTACAATAATGAATGTTTCAACATGACTTAAAAAATATTTGTAATGAGTTCTGCCATAAATTAATATACTTTTGAAGACCAAAAAGACATATGAACATTGAGGGACATCACTGACATTTTTGAAAGATTTCACTGATAATTTTTTTTTGAACAGTGAGAATAAAATCAGCTTATAAATTACAATCCAGTATCAAATCTTCATTAACTGCATATAAGGAGTAAATTTAACACAAATTTATTAAAAATAAAATAACAAGCTGCAAGAAACAGAATTTTGAGGGGACACCACTGACAAGGGACACCACTGACATTTTGATTCATTTCTCAATTTCGAAAAACAAAGACTTTATTTTTAAGTTAAAGTCGGTGCGGGTTTTAAACCACGTGTAATACCTGAAAACGAGATTCAATAATATTTAAAAAATATTAATATTATAAACAATTTTTCGATGGGGACACCACTGACATGGTGTGGTCGACAAACTGATACTTGCTTTCTGCCACCAACCGTACAAGTTATAGATGTGATAGAATCTTGTAATGTTTTTTCTTTAAGAAGCTATACATATCACCAATACTATTAACGCTTAATAAGGCAATTATCTGCACTAGGTTATTTAAATATCAGACATGATATTGAAAATTTGCGATAATTACTTAAAAATATGAAACTTACGGACAGGCGATTTTGATTTTTTTTCTAGCACTGGATCAAAATTATTCTGCCAGCACAATTACTATATAAAAATATAGACTCTTAGCTGTACAAAATAATTTTTCTGGTACTTAAAATGTGAGAATCAACAATTTTTATTATTAGGTAAAGTTCTGATTTCTTAAGTGCGGACAGGGGACACCACTGACATTTTGCTTCTAATTTTTCTGCTAAATTTTTTCAGAGAATTTCTAGCGACTAAGAATTATTAATTTAAGTAAAAGGAGTGACTAAGAAAATTAATTGACTTCAAAAACTTTAATATATGAACTAGTATTCCAGATTTTTGAGCAGGACATGAAAATGACATTTTAAATTTAATCACCCATATACATGTAATGAGAAAAATTCTGTTCAATATCTTTCTGGAAGGTTTTTTCATGCTCTTTTCAATGGTGAATTTTATTTTTTAATATTTAAAAAATTGACCCTAATCTTTGATAATTAATATTTAATTTGCTATTTTCACAAAAATCGGTCCATTTTATTTGAAAATAAATTATTGCAAACGAATGTTTGTGTGAAATTTTATCAAAATTTTTGTTTAATAATTCAATTCTTTTGGGAAATTTTATTAAAATATTGAATATTAAAAATCATTGAATTAAAAAAAATTATGAAAAAAATGGAATTTTATTACTTTTAAAAATAATTCAATTCCTGTGATGAATACTATTATTTTTATAAATATAATTGAATTTTACAATGAATTTTATTCAAAAGTAATTGAATTTTGTCGAAGAATTTTACTATTCATTTATAAAGATAATTGAAATGTTGACAATTTTTTTTTAGATTTTTTGAAAATAATAAAATTTTTGCGAAGAATTTTGTTAATTTTGAAAATAATTGAATTCTTGTGATGGATATAGTTATGAAAATAATTGAATTTTGCAATGAATTTTATTAAAATTCCTGAATAGACTTGAATTTCGGCGAAGAATTTTGCTATTTTTAAATATAATTGAAATATTTACGAGAATTTTTTTTTAATTTTTGAAAATAATTGAATTTCTGGAAAGAATTTTGATATTTATTAAGGTAGTTGAATTCTTTTAAAGAATTGCGTTAACATTTTTAAAATTGAAGCTAATTTCAACAAATTTGAATTTAAAATTGAATTATTTAAATTAAATTTGAAATATAATTAAGTTAGGATTTAAAATAAATTATTGTCAGAAATAGAAAAAATTGAAGGTTTTTTTAAAATTCTTGATAATTTCACGGTTTTTGAGGAAAACAAAAAGACACAAAAATTCAGAATTTTCTTATAAGTTCTATATATTTAATTTTTTCCATTACTTTTAATAAAAATCCCTGACTTTTCCCTGAATACCCTTACCTGTGGCAACCCTGATCTTACAATTCCAAAAATAAAGAAAATTTTTGTAGAAAAAGTCTTAAGATAATGGAATATTAATATTTAATAGAAAAATTTGTATTCTGAATTTTAGTTTTAACCAAACTGGTTAAATATTTTTCGAAAGTGAATAAATGGACAATTTAAAATCAGACTCCTTAAAAAAGCAAAATGTATTTGCAAAATATAAAAAACTTTGAAATTGTAATTTTAGACCAGAAAAAAAATTTAACAGTCGAAAATTTTTAACTTATCGTTAGATAATTTAATTACTGCTTTGCGTTCACTAATTTATTATTTATAAGCAATTGACCAACTAGCCTAATAATAACTATTGTCATTCTTTATTATTGTCTTTCTAGGCACACCTTTATTTTGTTACTAGTAAAATGTCACAGCAAAAAGAAAAGAATGTAATTTTAGCAAGGTAACATATTCTTTTCTTTTTGCTGTAACATTTTGCTAGTGACACTATTAACATTTTGTAGCAGACATCGAATAATAGCCCAGGTTTAATAGCAAAATTTTCAAAATAAAATGCCTTTCTGTGTAGTGACTAATTAAGAAAAACGAATGTCAAGTTTCAACATGCATACTATGCATACTTACAGTCTCATCACTAGAAGTATCAGGATCAGAGTTGTCGAAAATTTGATCTAAATCTTTGTAAGATGCTTGAAGTCCTTCGTTAGTGAAAAGGGATCCAGGTTTCGGAGGATCGTCCCGCGGCCTTTTTAGTCCATCGACTGAACCACCATTTTCATCTCCTGCTGCATCAAATTCATACGGATCTGGTCTTCCACCACTATTAGCAGCATCCTGAACAAAATTTTATTCATTCATAAAAAAACCACTTTACTGGTGAACTAAATTATTTATTTATTTTTTAATGCGTAACGCTTAAAAATGTGAAGATGCTTTTTGATATTGTAAAGTAATCAAATTCAATCATTTAATCGTTTCACCATAATTAAATTATAGGAAAGCATTTAGAATTTCTATTATCTGAACCAGGTCGCATTTAATAGTTCCAGTCGTAATTCAACAGAAAGACATTTAAAATTTTCTAATTTCTCAAAGTTAATTCTTAATAATTATTTTTTAGTAGAAAAATATTTGTAGAGTATTTGCTATTAATAATGGGAAGCATGAATGTCCTACAAAATTGATGAGTTTTCATTTTTATTTGACAGAATTTTATTAGTATACAATTTTATTTAGTCTTTATTTTTTGAGTTATTCATTTATTGTTTAATAGAATTTTTATTGAAACTAATTATGAAATAACAATTTTTATTTAATCGAAACCAATTTTCCTAATATTTATTCACACGAATTATTATTTAAGCGAAGTTGAAAGTGATCGAAAAAGTAGTCGACAGAAAGATTTTAATGCAATTTTTGAAATTCGGCAATCAGAAAATATTAAGAAAATTGTGATTATCCAATTTTCGTATTCAAGCCGAAATATTTTTGAAGGTTGTTTTCGGTAATTTGCAATTGAGGGTGCAGATTAAAGAACCGGTTATAAATCGTTGGAGAGCCATAAATTATAACCGGTTCTTTGATCTGCACCCTCAATTTCAGTCAAATGATATTATGATAATTCGGAGTTTTAAGAATTCTATTGAATAATTCATGCAAGTAAAAATTAGGACAGATTTATGTCTATTAAGAAAAAATTAGGTGATATAAAAATAAGTTTTAGTAGAAATTTTAAAGAATACTAATACAAAAAATAAAAGTATAGCTAACGGAAAATTCAGGGCCTGGCACGGTGCGTCTAGTCAAAATTAAATGAAAAATGATATTACCTCAAATTTTTTTGTTGATTCTGTATCCTAGCTCTATATAGACATATCTTATGAAGAAACGAAAATTGTAAGTTTAGCGCTTTTTTTTAACGACGTCAATTACATTTTTTGATAATTTTTACATTTTTCAACATTTTTATATCATTTTACTTCCTCATAGAGGAAGTATTGTAATACCAAAATTTTTCGAGTTCGATTTTTTGACATATCTTTATGTTATTCGACCTCAGGAGTTCAAAAATGACATTTTTAAAAAATGTCATACCGTATGTGTGTGTGTGTGTAAACATCACATTTTCATAAATATCTCGAAATCATGAAGAGCTTTTGGGTTGAATTTTTTTTAAATTGTAGATCTCACCTGCGGACATAAAGTGAGAGTACTTTCTGATATATTAATAAAGTTTAACTAAATTTTTTTTTTATTTTTAATTTTGCAAAAAAAAGTTTTTTGCCCATAACTTTAAAAAAATGTTAGAATACCTATAAATGTTTTTCCATAATTTTGTAGAGTTTTTTTAGACGCATCTTTTGAGCCGTAATTGAACATTTTTCGTCCATATTGGCCGGAGATAATAAACTTTTAAAAATCAAAAATTTTGGAAAATAAGACTTTTTTAAAAATTTTGTTGAAAAATGTAGATGTAACTTTAAAATTATCGTTACTAACTTGTAGAGCATTAAAAAACGCTTCGATTGACCTACTTTTGAACCTAATTCGATAATAAATTTCGAAATTATTGGTATTTTAAAAATCAAAAATTGTGGAAAAAGACATCTTCTCAACCTTTTTGTTTGAAAATTTTTGTTTAACTATTAAACTATTATAACTATCTTGTAGGGTATTTAAAAATACATTTATTGACCCAAAATTCAATCACTTTTACCATATTTATGAAAAGTTATTCATATATTTCTGTTATTATTACCTCTATGAGGAAGCAAAGTGTTCATGAAATGAGCACCAAAATTATAAAAAAATATACAACTTGGCAGCAGTTTTAAACTTTTAAGGGCTACTCTAGTTTACAATACTCTTCACTTATAACCACGCTTTTTCAAGAGTGTAATTATGTACATGTTATATTAAATTACTGTTTCGTTGTCAAATCAATGTTAGCGGGGCTAACCGATACTAAACAATAACAAAGCATACACTGAATGTGAAATACATCACTCTGTTGGATCTATATTTACTTTTAAGTTCTTACGTAATTATATATGTTTAAAATGATATAAAAATGTTGAAAAATGTAAAAATTATCAAAAAATGTAATTGACGTCGTTAAAAAGAAAGCGCTAAACTTACAATTTTCGTTTTTTCATAAGATATGTCTATATAGGGCTAGGATACAGAATCAACAAAAAAATTTGAGGTAATATCATTTTTCATTTAATTTTGACTAGACGCACCGTGCTGGATCTTAAAACCACACATAAAATTTCTACAGCGGTATTCGTTGGCCCCTGACATCTTATAGGAAATTTCCTTGCGCATCTTTTTTCTTCTCATAATTTTTTTTTATATTTATATCAGTTTTTGAGAAAAGCAAAAAAACCATTGTTTTCTGATATTAAGTTTAATTGAAATTTCCACTTCAACTCATTTTGAAATGAAAAGTTTTTAATATTTTTGCATGAAATTTACAGGATTTACAGGATTTATGTTATTAATAATACCTCATTTTTAAATTGAAAAAAATTATTAATTTTTTTGTTACTCAGTGTTCTACTAGTACATGCTAATTTTCAAACGCATTTTGAATTTTGAAATTCAAGTAAAGCTAAAAAAAAGCCCACATACAAAAAGTTCGGGAACCAAATACATGATAAAGAAAAGGACAGGGATAAATAATTGTCGTTAAATAATTGAAAAAAGTAGCTCATTTTAGTCCAAAAGTGTGCAAAAAAGTAACTTATTTTATTCTGGGTCATCACCAAAATTTAATTATGTATTTCTCTGATTTCTAGAAAAATTGTTAATTTCACTTCTTATTCTGGTTAACTTTAATTCTAAATTTTTGTAAAATCCAATTATTTTCCATCAGTTAGAATTCTTCAAGAATACAATTTAAAGATTATTTTTAAAATTAAAAATATTAAATTCTTTCAAATACCTACCTATAAAATTTATTTCAATGAAATTTTGACGGAAATTATAATTATTTTAAATTTATTGTTTTCGGGAATTCAACTATCTTCAAAAAACATAGTGCTTTAGTAATATCTTATACAATAATATGTTATTATATCTTATTATATTAATAACTTAATTAAAAATGTTAAAAAACCTCATTTTTCAGAATTTCTAAATTAAATTAAATGCAAAAATTCAATAATTTTTGTTAAGGGTCAGACCATTATATTTCAAATAAAGTCGTTGCGGACTAATTTTTAAAAAAATTGATACTTTTAGAAATGAATCTGTATGATCTCTGAAGAACGAAATGAAAAGAATTTTATTAAAATATTTATTATTTTTCTTAAAATATGAGTGTAAAGTGGAGAAGGTGCGAAAAAACGGCACTTTTTTAGCAATTAGAAAATATTTAAAAAAGTATTAAAAAATTCTTAAAAGTGCAAAAAGATTTATTGATTCATGTTTAAAATTATTTGATTAATTAATCTTTAATAAAAAAACTAGTAAAAATATAAAAATAATATAGATAAAATATGTTTTTAAAGTCGATCCGTCAAATAACCTAATTTTGACGTTTTTATCAATTAATTACGAGAAGGTGGAACTATTGAATTAAATAAAAACTCACCGAATATAGAGTATTTTTGATGAACTTTCAGGATTTCTTATAATTTTTTTAATTTTTCCTATAAATATACAAGAAATATTGAGTTGAAAGTACGCGATTTCTGAATTGTTGCGTACTTTACAACTTAATAACTCCGTTAAAGAAAAATAAAAAAATTTGGCACTTTCACAACTTCTAAATCACAACGAAATCTATACACTCAAAAATTTTCTTTTTGGTCCCGGGTCTAATTTAAAAAATATAGAGGTTTAAAAATTGCACACTTTTTCAGGTTAAAACTATTTATTTTCTTAAAATTGAAGTTGGTTTTTTATTGTAAATCACGTTCCGATCATAGTGTTTAAATTAAAAGCCAACTTCAATTTTAAGAAAATAAATAGTTTTAACCTGAAAAAGTGTACAATTTTTAAACCTTTATATTTTTTAAATTAGACCCGGGACCAAAAATAAAATTTTTGAATGTATAGATTTCATTGTGATTTAGAAGTTGTGAAAGAAGGAGTTTACACCGTAAGCCTTAAATATAAGCCTCCGCGAGCATAAACGGATATGCCTCCATGAGGATATACTTGCGTCTGCGCAAAGTGTTTGCCTGCAGCTGTGTTGTGAAAGAGTTTGCCTTGACCACGTGTTCGCGCAGGCGCAAATATATGCTCCTGGAGGTATATCCGTTTATGCGCGCGGAGGCTTATATTTAAGGCTTACGGTGTAAACTCCTTCAAAGTGCCAAATTTTTTTATTTTTCTTTAACGGAGTTATTAAGTTGTAAAGTACGCAACAATTCAGAAATCGCGTACTTTCAACTCAATATTTCTTGTATATGTATAGGAAAAATTAAAAAAGTGACAAGAAATCCTGAAAGTTCATCAAAAATACTCTATATTCGGTGAGTTTTTATTTAATTCAATAGTTCCACCTTCTCGTAATTAATTGATAAAAACGTCAAAATTAGGTTATTTGACGGATCGACTTTAAAAACATATTTTATCTATTATTTTAATATTTTTACTAGTTTTTTTATTAAAAAATAATTAATCAACTAATTTTAAACATGAATCAATAAATCTTTTTGCACTTTTAAAAATTTTTCAATACTTTTTTAAATATTTTCTAATTGCTAAAAAAGTGCCATTTTTTCGCACCTTCTCCACTTTACACTCATATTTTAAGAAAAATAATAAATATTTTAATATAATTCTTTTCATTTCGTTCTTCAGAGATCATACAGATTCATTTC